AACATTTTCGATTATTATCAAATTATTGGTTAATATTTGCAATTATTAGCATATTGTCGATTATATTATTAGGTGTATATTTATTACATTAGCTTCTGTTTTAATTCGTCTATACTTTTGTTATAATAAAATCTGATTTGTATGTAAATTAAATATATAGAAATACATCTGGTAAAGTATCTCATATTAATTTAGAGTGAGTATTTTCTATCTTCTCCATCTTTTTTCATAAGTAATCTTCAAATAAAATTAATTAAACAAAATTTAAAACGATAAATTGTTTTATTTAATAACAACATAGTGTAAAAGAATAAGGATTTCTTAAAAAACAACTTGAAAATTTATTAAAACTGATTAAATCTAATATAAAGAAGAGTATTACTAAATAGTACTTTATATATAACCTGAAGTATTAATATTTGTTACCCAATATTAAGACCCCAATATCTATTAGCATCGATAGTTTTTATATAACATTTGGGAAGATAATCTAATTATGTATTTGTTTTAAATCTAATTAACATTTAATTAATCAATTCAGTTATCTCACCGCCTCTGCCATTATACGTGTTATTATAATTCGATTACAATATCTTGCCATAACTACAGTTGCCTTCAATTAAACAATGGTTTGTAATGTAATTTTTATGTTCTATTAATTGATAAAGTGATTCCTTTATAAATTCTAAAAAATTAGATTAAAAGTATATTAAGAGCGACAATATTCTCTTAGATATCTTGGTAACTGCAGAGTATGACTTTGAGATACTTTATGTAAAAGTGCAACACATGTAATCATGATATCTTAAAACATTAGGTAGAGAGCAATGTTAAGTATGAACAAATTAATAGAATCTTTTAATGTTATCTCAAAGCTATTTACCTATTTTTTTTTAGGTGTAAGACAGTCAGAAATTCTTTTAATCTTTTGAAGAAAAAAAAACAGCTTTTAAATATTTGATTAGTACCGTTTTTACCCGATTAAAAGATTAATAATACATTTTCTTCTTACTTCAGACTTGAAAAGAAATAGTTTGAATGAAAATTTGTATTGAAACTTTACGGGGAAAAAATAAAAACAACTTTTACTATGCTGCACCCTTACTAAACGCGTCGTTCAAACCCACAATTCCGTTGTTTTTGCAAGAATCGGCAATAGAACTAATGGATGGCATTTTTACGTTCTCAAAAAATTTTCTTGGTATTATTTCGTTGGCAATACCAGATATTTCTTTCCAAGCAAACTCAACGTCCGAGGAGTTTGTTAATCGACTGCATATTACAAAGCGAATAACAAATTTGTTCCGGTAATAACACGAAATCAAGTACAGCTTCTTTTTTTCTGTAATCTTTTGAAGCAAATCTTTGGTCAACTTATCATCCCCCTTTAATCGAAAGCAGACCAAACCTAAGTTGGAAGTGAGCACCTCAAAGCGCGAATCGCCGGAAACTAATTCTTCAAAATATTTTGCTAAAGCAATCTGGGACCTTACATGGTTTCTGATACCTTCCACGCCATAAATACGTAATGTGAACCATAACTTCAAAGACCTGAACCTCCTTCCAAGGGCGATTTGCCAATGCCGATAATCTGGTGCATGTCCTTCGTGTTGGTGCTTCAAATAAATTCTGTCGACATTGAAAGATTCCACCAAATGCTTCACGTTCTGGAACCACATGGCCGAGCAATCGAAATTCACCAGCATCCATTTGTGTGGATTGTAGTTGAAGGAATCGGCATAATGGACACCTTTCATTAAAGGTCGATATTCTGGACACACAAAGGCAGTTCCTGCGTACGCAGCATCTATATGAAGCCACACACCTTCTTTCTTACATATTGGTCCAATTTCTTCTAATTTATCAAAAGCGCAAGTGCCAGTGCTTCCCAAAGTTGCCACAACATAGAACGGAATGCGATTGTTTCTCTTATCTTCATCTATAGCTTTTTGAAGCGCTTCTCCTCGAAGACATCCATTTTCATCTGCAGGCACGTGTTTCATTGGAACTGCTCCCAGCAACCCGGCCTTTTCCACAGACGAATTAGCTTGATCACTGGTATATGCTACCAGGCGACCTCTGATGTCTGATTCGCTTAAGGAAGGATCATTTTCCCTCAATTCTTTGACCGTTTTTTCCCTCGCTGATAGCAGACCTACTAACGTTGCTTCACTGGCTGAGCCTTGTATTGTACCTCCACCGGGTCCGCTGGATGAATTTAGGAATGTCTCTGGTAGTCCCAGTAAATTTCCAAGCCAATTCATCATAACAACTTCGAGTTCTGTGCAGGCAGGACTGCTTATCTACATATAGAAAGATAATCTAATTCAAAAATTTTGATTGCCAGAAGAAATTTTGTTCGATGGTTTACAACACAATTATTTTGCGATCTGAAGAAACAATGATATCTCTTTTACAAATATTTGATAATAAGAAACAGTTTTGTATACCCAACTAAATCCGATTGAGGAAAGCCCAGCGCTGAGAATTTCCCCAACTATGCTGGGAAAGCTGCAAGCTGTGGGATAATATGCATGAAAATGAGGAGAATTCCAGTGAGTTATTCCCGGCATTATAACTCTTTCTATATCTGTCATAATAGACTTCCAGTCCTCTCCTAGTTCAGGAGTGTCTTTGGGTACCAATTTTTCTAAATACCCTGGTTCCACAGAAGGTAAAACGTTTCTATAACAAAAAACAATAAAGTGAATTTATGGTTTTGCTTTTTAGAACAATTAATTTTTGATTAATACAATAATGAGTGTTTATAATAGAGGTGATAGAAATTATATTTCAAACACATTAAATAATTTCAATAAAGTTGCAATTAAAAATCAGGTGACGAGATAAAAACAATTTCTTGATTTCATATTCATGTAATTTAATTAGTAATAAAAGTTTTTATTGCAATTATAGTGCATTATAGCGCTTTTTGTGGTATTGGTTCTAAAGAGAAAGGATTAAATGGAAATAATACGTCCACAAACTTTTAAATAATTATGGAGAATTTGTATTTATTTATTTTAATCTTACTTATGAACAAATTTACCATT